AACTTTGTAATTCTTTTTCAAGATTGTTTTAGTTATTCTGGATCCCTTTCATTTCTAGGTGAATTTTAGACTTAGCTTGTCAGAAAAAAAGTCAAAATTTTGATAGGGATTGCAATAAATCTGTAGATTATTTGGGGTTTATTACCATCTTCATAATATTAGGTGTACGAATCTATGAACATGGGATATCTTTCTATTTATTTAGGTTTTTAAAAAAATTTATTTCAACAATATTTTGTACAAGTGCATTAAGTCTTGCACTTCTTTAGTTAAATGTATTCCTAGGTATTTTGTTCTTTGGATGTTACTGTAAACAGACTTGATTTATCCACTTTCATGTTGTTTATTGCTAGTATATAGAAATATAACTGATTTTTATATGAGGTCTGTCTGGAAAAAGCCCAGCCATTGTTAATATAAAGAGAACAGTTTGCATGACATTGATATAACCTGGCAGCCAAGGATAGTGGACTGGAATGCGCATGCATGAACAATGATGACTTCTTGCACTAGTCAGTGGGGGCATCTGCCGTTGAGTGAGCATGTGTACTGTGTGGCCCTCACATTCAAAATGACTGAGAAAGTAGAGCAATGAATCTGTGTCAAATTTTGCGTTAAGCTTGGACATTCCTCCATGGAGACTATTCAGATGATTCAGTAGGCTTTTGGGGATGATGCAATGAGTACAACACAAATAAAAGTGTGACACAAATACTTCAAAGATAGTGGAGAATCTGTTAAAAGTTGTCCACATTCTGGAAGCCTGCAACAAGTAGAACACCAAAGAATGTTCAACGTGTATGGGCTACAGTCAACAAAGATTGGTGACTGACAGTGCAAGAACTAGAAGCTGACCTAGGGATTCCAAAAACTACTATGTCCGAAATTTTGACACATGATTTTGGCATGAAACGTGTCATGGCAAAATTTGTTTTGCAGCTTCTGCTACCAGAACAGAAAGAACATTGTGCTGCATTTGCCAATGACTTGATTCAAACTGCTATCAATGAACCAGATTTCCTCAGGCAGATCATAACTTTGAAGGAGTCTAAGGTGTCATTGTCCCTGGACAGTATTTCTTGTACGTTGTATCTTCTTCAATAAATATCTTTATTCTGGAAACCTTACGGACAGACCTTGTTATTGATGTTATATCCTGTAACCTTGCTGAACTGGCTTATTGGCCCAAATACCTTTCTTTTGTGTGCGTGTGAATTTTTAGCATTCCTACTTTGTTCCTGATTTTAGGGGAAATGCTTTCAGTCTTTTGCCAGTAAGTATGATGTTAGCTATGATTTTTTAGTAGTTGCTCTTTATTAGATTGAATAATTTCCCTTATTTTCCTAGTTCATTGAGTATTGAGTATTTTTTTATCATGAAAGGTATTACATTTTGTCAGAGGCTTTTTCTGCATCTCTTGAGATGATCATATTGATTTCTCCCTTTAGTCTATTAATCTACTATATTACATTGGTTAATTTCCATTTGTTAAACCAACTTTGCATTCCTGGAATAAATCCCACTTGCTCATGGTATATAATCTTTTTACCATTATTTTTTGAGAGCACAAGTTTTACTTTCACTTCCTGTGTCACCCAAAACAATCAAACAGTACTACAACTGGATCAAGAATTAGTGACCAAGACATGCAGTCATCATTATTATTACCATCATTGTCAACATTAATATGAGCACAAGTTGATGATAGTCTGAACTAGAATGATAGGTCCAAACGAGAAATCTCATTTTAAGGAATGAGATAAAATTTAGAGACTATTGGCCACAGGGCATTATTAATTTCTTAATGTTGTTGAATAGTTCTTCCATTCCTGGGATAAGCCTTATTTGGTCAAAATCCTCTATTCTTTATTTAAAAAAAGATTTAATAAAATAGAACACAGCCATAGGAAAAACAATATTTATCTTAAGTGTCCTGCTTAAACAACAGATGGACAAACAAAACAAACTCATAGACACAGACAGCAGAAGGGTGGTTACCAGAGGGAAAGGGGGTGGGGGGAAATGAAGAGGGTAAAGCGGATCAAATATATGGTGACAGAAGGAGACTAGACTCTGGGTGATGAGCACCCAGTGCGATACATGGATGATGCATTATAGACTTGTACTCATGAAACATAATGGTATTTACCAATGTAACCCTAATAAACTTAATAAAAAAAAACCAGCTTAAGGAATTCTCAAGACAAAATGCCTGTTTAACTAGTACACAGATCAAGAAGCTGAACATCATCAGCACCCCATAATGCCCCCTTGCGCCCCATCTCAGCTGCAACCTCCCACCACCCAATGAGGATAACCACTGATCCAAAGATTTTTTTTTCTATGAAATGCAATGGAGACAATTACATATTTTTAAGTGAGTACTCCAAATTTCCATGAAGCTTTAAATATGCTATAATGTTTCTCATTCCAGGAACATGTAATTTCTTAAGTAAATTATAACATATATATCATCCTTTGTTTTGGAATTGTCTACAGTTCTACTGGCCATTACAGTAGCCACAAGTCATATAAAGATACTGGGCACCTGAAATGTGCTGTCTATGCAATAGTCTTCAATGACTCCGTACAAAACTAAGATTTTAATGTTTCAGTAATAAGTTTTAAATAGCCATTACAGGTTATAATAATAGAATTTTGGATATATTGGGTTAAATCAAACAAACAATTTCACATTTCTCTTTAATGTGGCCATTAGGAATACAATCATATTCCTAACAGTCCATGATCGGCACTATGCTGTTAAATAAACAGATAAACTGTCTTAATATTTTATATGTACATTACTGAAAGGTTTTTTTTTTTGGACAAAGATCATGCTGTAAGCTACTTTGTACCCTCTAGGACTGGCACATGCTTGATAGTTAATGAATACTTCTTAACTGTTTGTTAAACTTTATTTTTTGCTTTTTAAGTTAAAATTCTATACTGTTTAGCCACATGAGGATAATATTCCTAAAAGATCAAGAAAAGATATCACAAATATCTCTATGGAAACTGAAAAAGTAGGAATTGGGTATAAAAATATTAGTTGGAAAAATAATATTTCTTTCATCAAAAGACAATTTCCTGGATTGTAATTCCTTGTAGATTAACATGAAGTTTGTTATGTTTAGTGCAGCATATGTATACATTAAGTATTTTTAAAGAGTGAATCCATTTTTTTATTAACAGGGACTTCTACTTGTTAGGGTAATCTATTTTTTTTTTTTGCTTATTGGCAGAATAGTGTGAAACACCAATTAGTTATAACGGAAGTGTCACACTACAGATTATTCGTATCATTGGATGAATGAAGAATTGTGATGTGGGACATTAGCCAAAATAGCCAGGTCCTGATTGGAGAATTGCTAAATATGATATTTTCCTTTTTTAAAAAAGATTTTATTTATTTTTAAAGAGAGGGGAAGGGAGAAAGAGAGGGAGAGGAACATCCATGTGTGAGAGATACATCAATTGGTTGCCTCTTGCACATCCCCAATTGGGGGACATGTCCGGCAACCCAAGCATGTGCCTTGACTGGGAATTGAACCAGCGACTTTCTGGTTTGCAGGTCGGTGCTCAGTCCACTGAGGCACACCTGCCAGGGCAGGATATTTTTCTTAAGTCATACATTTTGTATTATATATTTTGAAAGATATAAAGCATAAGTTCTCAGATTTCTGTGAGACAAAAATAGGCCTCAAAGGATCCTGGAGTCATCTTAAACTTCAAGTGACAAGAGAAACTTAGAGGAATCAGATCTTTGTTGAGGGTTTTCTTTTGGTCTTAGGGTACAGAGCCTCATTCAGAGTCACGCCCAGGTTGATAGGTGTTTACTGTGAAAAGGTAAGTGGAACACAGTTTGGGAAGTAGATGGATCCTGTGCCCCGCTAGGGACTTGGATATTCATATCCCCCTGGGGAGCAGGTCTTTGTTGCTCTGATTCCCTGGCGGGGTCTCAGCTTCTGATAGAGCCCGTTTCTATCACTTCCGCCCCCACCCACCGCTACTCCATCCTCGAATTTCTGCTCACTGAAATGTTTTGCTTTCTGGAGGCCCATTTTCACTACTTCTGCCTCAAGCCCTCTCTCAGCTAGAGCCTTTCTATCAGATGAATCATTCTCAGTATTCTCCCCTTTCACTTTTCAAGGGAGACTAATGATTGGCTTACCGAATTACCAAAGCTACTTCTCAGTGAGAACTGTTTGTTCCAGGTCACCTCCGAGGATGACGGCGGCCAGTTTACGGACTGTGTGCTCTTGGATCACATGATCACTCTTAATCCAATCAGTTATTGGAACCCAATCATTCTGGCTAGCTGTTTGTGCAACCTCTGCCCTAGGATGGTTTGGGTCACTTCTCTCAGCAGAGCCTCGGTTTCCTTTGGAAAGGGACTCCCGGTACAATACAACAAGCATGTAACACACTGACACACACACTCACTGATGAAAACAACAGTGGTTGAAATGTATGAATAAGAAGATCGCATTACGCAGTTAAATGTAGGAGATAATGAATGGAGGGAAGAAACCTCTATTGACCCTGGCTTTGTCCAAGTAAAATTTCTCTGCAGTAGAACAAATAGGTTTTCAAGGTGAGTTTTATTTTGTAAATCAGACCATTCTGCTGTCCTGCAGTTTTCCGGAGGGTCCTGCTTCTGGCACACAGAACCAAAGTCACGTTCCTCCTAGGAGATCTCAGCGCTCAGCTCGTTGGGGGCGCTTTCTTTCTTCTGTTAGGAGAGAGATCTTGGCAGGAAACCATGCCACGGACCAGATGCCGGGCCTGGGGACCACGGGCTCTGAGTAGAGGAGGAAACGTGGCGGTAATCCAAGATCTCCGACAGTTTCCCACTTGCCTGCAATCTGTCCCCTTACGGGGAGCCTCCTCCCGAGTTTCTTCCTCTTAGGCTAGTCCCTGGGAATGTGGGCGGCCCGTTCCCGGGCGCACAAACTCTTACTACCCCTCCCCCCTCCTCCTCCTCCGCACACCAGCCTTTCTCTTTGCCTCAGTCACTTCCTTCCTCAGCCTCTTCCTCCCCTGTGCGTCGAATAAGGTAACTGGCCCGAGCTAAGGCTGCAGCAGGTTTTCAGCGGGCAAGAAAAGGAGGCTGAGAGGCGAGTAAGTCCCCCGGGACGATGTGGCCAGGTGTAAGGGATGGACCCGGTATCCGGTGGAGGCCAGGCCAAGCCAAGCAGCAGGGGACTTGGGGGCAGCGGATGGGGGGAGCGGGCATCCGCAAGGGGCGCGTGGGTGTTACAGCTGGAACAGGGCTGAGGCGGTGCAGGGGGCGGGTGGGCGCGCCCGCCACCCTGCCTCCCCGCAGACTTCCGCACTCGGCTCACGTGATGCTTCGCCGGCGGGGGCGGACGGAGAAGCCCGCGGCGGAGTGCCGTTTTTTACCGGGTGCAACGTGTCGCCTTTGCACTTGGCGGGGTCGGGAGCCAGTTCTGCAGAGCAGGGAGGGGAAGGACTGGGGTTGCGGGGAGAGCCACCCGCGACGGCCTCAGGACAGCGGGTACTGCGGCGCGGGTGGGGGGTGCGGCTCTGTGCTCTCCCCATTGTACGAAGGGTGGGGGGTGGGTCGGGAGGAGACATTAGGGGTCTGTGGAACTCGGAGCGGGGTCGTTTTCCCTGTCCAGTGTGGGCGCTCGGTTTCGCGGGGCCCTGGGGGCGCAGGGAGCTTGGGAAGCGCGGCCCGGTGGTGCTGGCGCGGGAATTGAGGAGACAAAAGCTTCCGGGACGTGGCCCTTCCCTGGGAGGCCGCCCTGGAGCCCGCCGTGCTGTCCTGAAGCAGTGGGGTCGAACCCCGCATTCCCCAACTCTGCACAATGCGGGTGGTGATCGTGCAGGGGACGGGGTCTTGGGACCCCTTCCGGGCCAGCTCCCAAACTTGGGGCAGGGATGACCAAATATGGAGCGTGTGCGCGCCCGCGAGCAGGCAGGAAGGAACCCAGTCATCGTTTGACCCGCACCAGCTGCTAGTCTCGAATTGATTAGGAGGGCAGGAAAAGTGGCCAGCCCTAGAACGTAGAGTTGGCTCCTGATTCCCAGAAACCCCCCTCCAGTAGGCTTTAGTCCTTGAACATTAGAAAATCCCCATCTATTGCCTCGAAACTTTAAAAAAAATTATCAGGTCCTTAAATAGATGTATATTAATGGTGGAGCATTTCATCATGTGCCTAGTCCTCTGACATTCCGCTTTCTTTGTGAGTCCTAGGCACAAAGCTTAATTACAATCTGTTACAATTAGAAGGCCCGCCTAGCATCTGCCACCGACTTCCCAATCCCCCCTCCCTCGCCCATTGTTGAGTTCTTTCTTCCCCTTGACTCGCCCGCTTTGGCCTCTCCTCATTGTGGTGTTTTGTTTTGTTTTGTTTACTGCTTACTCCAGTCCCAGGCCTGTGTCCTGATAAAATGCCATGGGTCTTCCAAGGATTGTGTAACAGTGACTATTTCTGCCCCTTTGTCTCTGCTGAATAATAAAATAAATAAATCATGCCAAATTATATATAGTAGCATGTTCTGACTTAGTAAGTACTCAGTTTGTAACATTTCACACAAATACAACTCTGTTGTATTTATTGCACTTTGCAGAGTAACTAGCAAAGAAAAAGAACAAAAAGGGGGGGATGGAGGAGGAGGGTGTGGTAGAAACAGCATTTAATTGTGAGGAGCCCCTTTGAGTCAGTTTCATCATTTATAAAATGGGGGTAAATAATAAATACTTCGCAAGGCTCTTAGGACTATGAATTAACATAGATAAGGAGCCTCGTGTGTAATTAATTATAAAGAAATGCTGGTTGCCTTCCCTTCTAAAAATTGGATGAGCATACATCTGTTTAATGCGATGCAGGTATTCACACTATACATAATAGTGGGATTTCCATTTTGAGTCTCACTGAAGGAGAGCTTTGTCTGAAACGTGTGGCTGGTGGGGGGTGGAAGGAGTGGAGAATGGTGTTAGAGAAATCTTCAGAGTGGGAGGACATCACAGAATCTGAGAGTTAGGACCATGATGAGGCTTATTTCCTCACCAATACTCACAGATCCATACTACTTAATGCATTAATGCTTCCAGTAACAGGGTGCCCACTTAATACATTGTCAGGCAGTTTTGAATGTTTAAGCAATTTTTTCTTACATGGCTACCAAATCTGCCTTTTTATTACATCTATCCATCCCGTCTAAGAGCAACACAAAACAAGACAAAATAAAAGGAGGTTTAAGTTGAATAAAAAATAGTGGTAGGTCTTCTCTAGGCTAACTTTTCAGATCAAGTCTTCAGAGTGCAAGTGACAGAAACTCATTCAGACAACAAGCAAAACCAGGTAAGTCGATTGGTTTGTGTAACTGGAAAGTCCAGGGTCATGTACAGGCTCAATCATTGTTCTGTGGTTGGACTTCTGCTTGTGCCGGCTTTGTTCCTTGCAGATTCTCCCCACATGATTGCTGCTTACATCAGGGGCTCTAAACTTGTATCTTAGAACCCAATGGGGCAGTGTCATTTCACTAGTAGGTGTGGCAAAGTCTGTGAGCTGAGCCTCCCTGTTCATGATGGGATCATCTACCTGTGCCCAAAATCAATTATTCTGGCTCTGAACCACTTCTGGAGTTTCGGGTGAAGCTCTATTCAAGATACATAGATTAAGAGGTAGGAAAGACTTGTTCCAAACAAGAATTAGACTAATGGTGCCAGAATAGGGAATGGGTGCTGAGTTGGTACCAATGACGGCTGTGCACCATGCTGATTTTACAGGTGGTTTTCTTTTCCTACCATAATTTTCATGGTAAGTCTTTCAGTTGTGTCCTCTGGGTGCATTTTGGCCTGTGACTATTTCTCTTAAACTATATCTTGCATTGAGTATAATGCTATAGATAAAATTCACCAACACAAAGTTCCTAATATTTGGATGCTATCATTTTTGATGGAGTTTTATGTAGATGCATGAACCTAAGATGTTGCATTTTATTGCAATGCAAGCTTCTTACATTATAATATTCACACATACAATGTAGCAGATGGCAGTTGTGCTGTTAATTATTAGCTGATGAAAAATCTGGGGTCCCAATCAGTATAGTTTAAATATAGATGTCATTCTTGTTTTTTAAAAGCTACCAGGAATCAGTTACAATCTGTCTGGATAAAGTTTTTTTCCAAATTGTCACCACAAAGTAAACCATTCACACAACCCCCCTTTTAAGTCTGTTACTTGATTTGGAGAACTTAAGAGTAGAAAACTGATTGATGCATATTTTCTGACCCTCATGTTGCCTTTTTCACTGTAAATTACTGCCTTATCATGGAAACTCCTCTTACTGCTTTGACCCAAGTTGGCCAGGGTTCTCTGCCCCACCTCTCTACTTTCCTCTCTTCTTGCTGGTATTTCTCCACTCTCACTTAGGTAGCTACTTCCTAGGCCCCTTTGCCCCCCTTTACTTTTTCTGAGTGCTCTTCCTCCGAGAGCTCCTCTCTATTTTGCACTTAAATCATCAGCGTTAGGATGACAGCTCCCATAGGTGTAGTTCCACCCTCTCTCATGCCTTTGCTCCTTTCAGTCTGTGAAACCAAAAGTTATTGAACCTGTACTCTCGGTGCCAAACCATCCAGCAGAGAGCACTACAGTCAGCTCCCTGCCTAGAGGAGCTTAGTGCCTGGGAAAGTCGAGAAACCGGTCATTCCAATCAAATGAAATGAAGGTGATGGACAATGCTTTGGCCACACTCAGAAGGGGAGCTCTCCTACTCCAGGCATCATGGAAGGCTTTGAAGGAAGTGAGCATGAATCTGGGACTGAATGTGTGGGAGCTGGCCCCAAGAAACAGGAATGAGTCATAGCCTGGGTTGAAGAAACAGTATGGGGCAGGTTGGAGGTGAGAAGTTGAGGGACATTTGAGGAATAAAAAAGAAGCCCCATGGAGGTGCAGCATAGAGCTCAAGAGGGTGGAGTGGAGGAGGCTGGAATGGTGGGCCGAACCCAGCTGGTGGAGGACCCAGTGAGCTGAGGTGACTTTAACAACTCCCGTTACCTAAAGATGAATGGCCTTCACCACAGCTGTCTATTGCAGTTAGGTTGTACTGAGCACTGTCCCGGGAAGGACAATCCCTGTGTGTGACTCAGAAGTCGTCATTGCACTGACCTGATATTATTAAACGTGCCTTGTATCAGCCCGCCTTTCCCACTGGGCGGCAGGCTCCCGGAGGGGGGGGAGTCTGTACCTTTATGTTGGTACCTCCAACTGCTAACGTAGGACCTGCTTTTTCTCCTTTGCTTCTCTGCCTTTGTACATGCTGTTCCCCATGTATCAAACACCCTTTCCCACCTGTCTGGCCCACTCCTCCCCCATGAGCTCCATGGAGACTTCTGAGGACTCCTCCTTTATGCTCCCATAATGCCTTGGACCCATCGCTCAGGGTGCAGTTACATTGCTTTGTGTTCCAGCCCTGTCTCTGTTTCTGGAGGACAAGTCACGCGGAAGGCAGGCCCTGTGTCACCTTTGTATTTTTGATGGCCTGCAGAGCACCATAAAGAGGATGAGCTTAGGGTTAAGAGGCAGTGCAAGGAAACTGGCTGTATTCTTCCCAATAGAGTGCACAGAATAAGAGTGGGGTCAGCCCGGAAGGGAAGTTACACAAATGGAGGGAAAATGGAGGCACTCTAGCGCCATGTACGTCAAACAAGTATTTTTAGGAAGAGGAGTGTGATAAATCAATAGTAACAAATGCTACATAAAAAAAGGGCACTTGGATTTGGCGAGATGTGCTTAATGGAATGAAGAAATGGCAATAATACAGGCATATTATTTTCTCCCTCAGGCAGCAATGAATGTGGATCATGAGATTAACCTCTTAGTGGAGGAAATTCATCGTTTAGGTTCAAAAAGTAAGTATTGTAACACAGACACAGTATTTCTATTGCATTTACCTCAGAGCAAGTAGGACCAGCTTTTTTGATAGAAGCCTAGGAAGGGGTCACCTGGCCCCTGGACAGTGGCAGCTCAGCCCTCAGTCCCAGATGGCAAGTGCCCTCAGCCAGGAAGTAATATCTGGAAACACAAAGCTATTGGGGTATTGCAATTCTGGCGCAAAGATTGGTTGAGATTTTCATTATCCTTTGAATGGAATGAAAATTGCTGTGCCTCTTTAATCTGGCTGCATTGAAATCTGGTAATTGAATCATGTTCAAATTTTTGTCACACTATTAAAATTTATTTTCTGCTCTATCCTGCCAGCATTTTACGAACTTCCAAGTGACTGGGGACTAATATTGAAATGACACTAAGTTTTCTTTACTTTCTCCAAAATCTTGAGTTTTATGTAATCATGTATTTATGTACGTATAACTAAACCATCCTTTAGGCAGTTTGTTTTTTTTTAAAGTCAGCGTTCTCCTGCAGCATACAAGCAGCTACTATGAAATTAGTGATGTGTACTTGGTAGTATTAGTGTCCTTTTCCTAAGGTGAAATGGAGTAACTATTGTGCTTGTAGTTTTGGGTATTAGTACATCACAGGTAAGACATGCAAGATTTGGGGAGCATTTTGAAAATGTAAGAGCAATATACATGTTCAGCAACAACTAGGGTAATGGAACTCAAAATTATAGAATTGCATCATTAAGTGAAATATGGCTTTAAATGAACCCGTAAGAGTTTTTTTGCATTGTCGCTTGGTTCTTCTTACTTGCAGCTCTGTCTGCTTATGAATAACAAGACATGCTTTGAAAATTCTATTAAGCCATTAGTTTCAAATGTCCCCTGTGTTAGTTTTCTTTGCTGCCATAACATTACCACAAACTTAGTAATGTAAAACAACACATTTAATAACTGTAATGTAGGTTAGGAGTCTTAGTTCATTGGTGCTGCTATGACAAAATACCATAGACTGGCTTATAAAGAGCCTACATTTATTGCTCATAGTTGTGGAGGCAAGCAGTCCATGATCAGGGTGCCGGCATGGTCAGGTTAAGCCCTCTTCTAGGTCACAGGCTTCTTGTATCCTCACTTGGTGGGCAGGGCTAGGGATCTCTTCGCAGCCTCTTTCCTTAAACCTTATGACTTCATGGCCTTACGTCCTTACATCCTCATGACTTTAGTACCTCCCGAAGGCCCACCTGCTATCATCCTTTAGCAATTAGAAATTTTAACACATGAGTTCTGGGGGAGACACAGTCAGAACACAGTAGAATCTGATAAGGGTCTCCCATGGGCTAAAATCAGGGTGTGGGTGGGGTGCGTTCTTTTCTGCAGGGCCTAGAGAATCTGTTTTCTAGTCTTTTCCTAACTTCTAGCAGCAAATTGCATTCTTGGCTCATGGCCCCTTTTCTCCATCTTCAAAGCTGCCAACAGCTGGTTAAGCCCTCATATCGTGTCACTTGGACTTCGTCCCCTGCCCCCCTTCTCAACGTTATAAGGACACTTGTGATTACATTGGGCTCAGCCCTGTAGTCCAGGATAATCTCCCCATTTCATCTCATAATTTAATCTCATCTACAAATTTCCCTTTGCCCTGTAAAGTAACATATTCATGGGTTTTGGGGGTTAGGACATGGATGTTGTTAGGGGCCATTATACTTTCTGTCACCTCTTCTTTGTGGTCTTCCCCAGTCACTTTATTTCTCCTGCAAATCTGAATCATTATCACTGAAACATACTAAGAAAAAACAAACTAGGTTTATAAAAGTTGGTGTGGACTCAGCAACGGAGTTTAATCATATGGTCAGTTACTATTGTTGGGAATCTGTATATGCCAAACACCGTGTCAGTACATGTGACACAAAGTATGTTTCTGTCCCTCAAGGATCTTGATACAATACTTAGTTGAGAAAAATAGATGAAAAACTTACGAGCCAATTATCAGAAAAAATGGTGTGCTAAACTGTGGAGTGCCGACCTCCAATTCAGGACGGTCCCAGAGAACTAGATGATTGAAAACTGTAGTAGTTGAGGGGCACTCAGTGAATGCTTGACTATTAAGTAGGACTTTGAAGTATAGGGCAGGCCAGTTTAGGAGAAATGCACGAGGAGATAGTGGAGGATGTCATTTATTTAGTTCCTCCGTCAAACCAATAAACAATTTTTCCTAACCCCATTTTTCTCCCACCCACTTCATCTTACCCACTTGGTGGAAGTTTGGTGAGTCTTGTTTTCAACAGTGATGCCCCTCCCTCGGGGCCTCATTCCTATGTTCCCACTTTCTCCCGAGCTCTGTGAGGGTGTGTTACTCCTGGGAGCAGTGCAGTTGTTTGGTTTGTTAAAGGTATTAAAGATGTATTTCCAAAGATTTATAGCATTCTCTTTTCTCTTAGATCTTTCTCCATTTCAGCTTAGTGTTTACTGGTCAGAGTCATTTTACTTAAAAGTTTAACCTCTATATCCTGTTTGACAAAGGTAAACTGAACCTATACTTCAAAATTAGCAAGCAGCTTTACAAACTAGAAGACAACCAAGTAAATATCATAACTTAAGCCTTCTTGACTTTTACCTATTTCTGATAATGGATGACTTATGAATTGGAAAGTAGCTACTGGAGATATGTTATCTACTGACATGTTACAGTAAATTATTTAAGTTGTGTCTAGAATACTTTTGATGAATCTCAATTATGATACAGATTAATCATATGTAGATTAATCTAAATTATGATAGAGATTAATCATATTTAGACTAACCTAAACGATATGTTAGCTGAAGGTGGAACTTGATAAATTTAGTTTTACCTGTTTCCTTTAAAATAAAATTCTTTTCTCATTTCCCATCCAGTAGGAAAAAATGAAATGGATAACGATTATTTGGAGATTTAAATTCTTTCATTCAACAAGTATTTCTTGAAGGTTGCTTTTGTGCGTAAGTGCTGGAAATGTGAAAATACACAAAATTCAGCCCTTGTGGGTCTCTTTAGATGGCAGGGAGCACGACAGGCAAACCGGAAGCGTGTCCTGGGAGGTAGTTGAAAGCACGGGCGCAGGAATCGGGCTCTGGGAATGAATCCCAGCTCCGTAACGAGCTTGCTCTGTGAGCGTGGGTCCATTACTAAGCTTTTCTGTGCCTTGGTTTCCTTATTTGTAGAATAATATACTCTGTTTTGATCAAAGATGCTTTATTTTTTCACACTTGGAAATTTTCTAAAATAAGGCTGTCTCTTATACATGGTGTGCTGTAGTTAAATTGGCAGTTCAGTTGGAACATAAAATAATGGTCCCTCTTGAAATTAATTATATCTTTGATGAAGTAAGGATTAAGTGAGTTTTAATGACTGTAAAATGCATTGAATAGTTCTAGCAACACATTAATACCAATAAATGTTAACTATTACTATAATTGATGGTGAGTTCTTTGACAACTGTATATTTAATTTTATGAGAAGAGCTATTAACACAGCTGAGGACTTCTCAGAGAAGGTGACATCTGAGTCCATTCTTAAAGGAAAAGAATGTAGCTTGGGAACGGGGTCTGGGTCCTGGGCAGATGGCTCAACGTGGGTGAAATGACCAAGGCGGGCTTGTTCATGTCACCTTGGGTAGCAGCAAGTGGTTCATTTTAACTGGATTAAAAGGTGCATGGAACGCTATGGCAGGAGACCAGGCGAGAGAGGAGTGAAGGGCCAGCGGATGGGGAGTCTTATCTGTGAGGCCACAACTTCACTTTATTTTAAGGGTAATAGGAAGCCATTGAAAAATGAAAGCAGAACACAGTCAATCAGATTTGCATCTTATAAAGTTTTTTCCACATTTTTTAATTGCGTACCAATACAAAGGATGTATTGGGGGTCAAAATGGAGAAAGGGAGGCTGGTAAGGAGTCTCACAGTTAACCCACGTGAGAACCAGTTCTGGCCTGAAGCAGGCAATTAATTGTCCGCAGAGAGGAGAAGCTAGAGCAGCAGAAGATACAAAGAGAGTGGTATCGCTTGTGAGACTGAGGGGAGACTGAGGGGCCAATGGGCAGGACTCCCAGGATTACACCCAGGTTACTGCCTTTGGTGCCTTTACAATATTTCACCTGAATTTACCATATGCCGGGCACTCTAGAATCGACTTTCCCTATATTCATCTTCTAATCCTTGTAACAACTCCGTGAGGGTTGTATTTACCCTCATTTTATGGATGAGATAACTGTGGCCCAGGGAGCTCGAAGGGCCTGCCCAAGGCTGCCCAGCAGCTCCACTTATTTCTGGAATCAGTAAAATGGCGTTTCGCTGCTAGAAGTTGAAAAAAATCAAGGAGGTACATCTTTGCCTTCCAGGCCAAGCGTGGTCAGATTCTCTGTTTTTATTTGCAAACATATTCCTTTTTCTTCTCATCTTAGTTTACCTGATGGGAGTCACCCTAGTTACTGTTCAGATGCTTACTTGCTTCCCCTGTGACTGGCTTGGGACACTCCCCCATTTCTCTCACTCATAATTGAGCCAATGGTCACTGATCGACTCAATGGCTCAATGAGTCACAGAGCAAGTGCTGGGCACTGTGTTGTGTGCTTTGGAACTGCGTCCGTCAACAACACTGTGCAGAAAGGATTGAGATCCCAGTTTTACAGATGAGGAAACGAAGGCAAGTTGCCTGAGGCAAAACAACTAGTAAGTGGCAGAGATTTCAACTGAGGACTGTTGTGTTCAACTCTCCTTTCAAGTCCAGAACAGGTACTGCCTCCTTCAGCAAGTCTTCCTTCACCATTCTAGCCCAAAGTCATCTTGCCCTCCTCCAAACTGTCACATGTCTTGGCTGCCCCCTTGAATCCAATCACATACTGCTCTGCACTGTTGCTTTATTTGTTAGGCACATACTGCCCGTTGCCTTGTGGGATTTGAAGCCATTTCTTTGAAAGCGAGAGAGTGATTCTATAGTTCCTTCTCTCTGCCCCCAGTGCCCAGCATAGTGCTGCATGCACAAGAGGTTACTAAGACCTTCAGATTGGAAGTTCTAGGGGGGAGGACAGGAACTCAAGAACCTTGGCCAAAGAAGTGTCCCCTCTCACTGAGCAGGCCTTCTTCTTGACAGTGGCACAGCTTTTGGAGGGAAGAACGTGGAGCAGTGCTCTCGGAGGTCAGGGGGCCAGCCAGGCAGATCAAAGGAATCAAGCGACAATGGGAACAATGGGGAGGTGTCCCACAGTACCCTTACCCCTGAGTTATCAGCTGATAGATTTTAACCAAAAACCCTCCTTTTGTTTACCTTAATTTTTAAAAGAAAACTTTATTGTTTAAGAGCAGTTTTAGATTTACAATAAAATTAAGAATAAGTTACAGAGATTTCCCAGTGACCTCTTACTCCCACACATGCATAGCCTCCCCCATATCAGCGTCCCCCTGCTGTACATTTTTACAGTCAACAAACCTACTTTGACCCATCAACCATAGTCCATCGTTTACATTAGGGGTTCAGTCTTGGTATTGGACATTCGATGGGTTTGGACAAATGTATAATGGCATGTATCTGTCATTATAGTACCATAGAGAGTATTTGCACTGCTCTAAAAATCCTGTTCTCTGCCTGTTCATCTTCCCCCATCCCAACCTGTGAAAACCACGGATCATTTTACTTAGTTTAATCTTTTTTTCATAGTTTTGCCTTTTCTGGAATGTTTTATAGTTGGAATCATTCAGCATGTAGCCTTTTCAGATTGCCTTCTTTCACTCAGTAATAGGTACTTAAGGCTTCTTTATGTCTTTTCATGGCTTAATAACTCATTTCTTTAGTGTTTACCTCAATTTTTAATATCTGTATTAAAAATTGTCCTCCAATCTAGATAATCTAGGGATCTTTGCAAATACAGATGTCTTCATTTTTAAGGTCATCATTCCTTCCCTGGGGGTTCTGAGCACATTCAGAAGACACCTAGAGAAGCATTGTGCCTGACTTGGGGTTTCTCCTGTATTTGTTATTTTTATTGATTGACCAACTAACAACACATTGAAATTTAGACAGAAATTGGTCCATAGTAGTAAGCAGAACTGTAACACATTAACCTTTTGTAAATGTTTCTTAGGTTTCTTCTACTCTGTGTTCGGGTAATACTAAGGCTAGAAGGTGTGCAACATGTTGTATTTATTTAATCACTTTTGGATCTGGCAACAGGTTGCATTGAATTTACAACTACTACATGTTAAATTATAATTTTGGTTAACCTATAGGTAGATGTTTATTAAAGATTATGTAACTCTTTCATACGTGGGGGCAAGAAACAGACTGCATTGGCTAACATTTTATTTTCTCAAATTAGATGCTGATGGGAAGTTAAGTGTGAAATTTGGGGTCCTCTTCCGAGATGACAAATGTGCCAACCTCTTTGAAGCATTGGTAGGAACTCTCAAAGCTGCAAAACGAAGAAAGATTGTTACATACCCAGGAGAGCTACTTTTGCAAGGTGTTCATGATGATGTTGACATTATATTGCTACAAGATTAATGTGGTTGCATATCATTGTTTACTGTTATTTTCTGGTAAACTGGAATATTTTCAAGTCAAAGGACAAACGTGAACATACTTAATGTATTTTTATAGAACTTTGTAAACAAAAAGACATTCTAGAAGTCTGTCCTTTTTATATCTTGAAAGAAAATTTATGTATTACATTGTAAAATAAATAAAACCTATTATTTTTCTCAGGAATCTGTTTGGAAAATGTAGACATTGAGGCTTTTTCTTGGTGGGCATGTGAGTGTTTCATAAATCATTCTTAGACAATTTCTACAGGTAATTGGCATTCTGTGAAAGCAAGAAACAAACTGGAGACCAGCTCCCACAAAGAATATTATAATGTTTATGTAATAAAAACATGTAGCTATCTTAACAGTGCCTTATTGTCTTATTTTGTCATTGACAATTTATGTGCCTCCCTGAATCGTTTTTGTATCAAGAATAAGTAACTGTAGTAATTCTTAATTTGAAGGAAAGTTCTCTTAAAGCTACAGAATAATTTAAAAATTAAAAAGTAGGGATGGTTAGTGTTATGAATGGGCCCCATTAAAAAATATTGATTTTGATGCCTATTGTGTGTTTACCTTGAGTTAGGGGACACGCCAAAACACGTAACCTAAAAACTTCACTTTCTAGTTGGATTAGTTAGACCCACCTGACACAAAACAGGATTGTCTATAATTGCATGTTGCAGCCTGTAGTACAGCGTTGAAAATGATGTAGAATCTCGAGGGTAAAAAAAAGTCAGTGAAAACTCACAGCTGGAAAAGGTTATCGTAGAGGAGGACGAATTTGCATGATCAAGGTCGATTATGCAGAGGGAAAAATGGGACCAGTGAGGGTGATGACCCAAGGGAAGACTCAGGGACATGAATTAGCAACACATGATTTTGCGAAAGGTCAGAGAATGTCAGGTTGGCTGAAATATTAGGGAAAGGTGATTCAGATTGTGTAATTAAGGCAGAATCTGGGAAGCCAGGGAGAAGAGCCTGACCAGAAACTGGAGAGGGGAAGCGGCATGATGAAAATGATGTTTAGCCCCGGCACTGGCAACAAGGGTGGATTGCAGAGAGTAAAGATGCACTCAGGCCCACAGAAACACCGCTCGAGAACCTCATGGGGGTGGCGATAATGGAAAGGCAAAGGAAGGATACGCCTCAGACACATTTTGAAGGAAACTGAAACTCTGTCATCAGTACCCTTTTTTTTTTTGTGACAGGACCTCAATTCAAGCTACATTACACAGCAACAGAATTCACTGGCTCTTCATCGTTATTGCTAATGTTTATTAGGCATTTACTATGCTAACCCTTATATAACCCTGTGAGGTAAGTATTAACAGTATCTCCCATTTTATAGATAAAGATAAGAGAGGCACAGAAAAGTTAAGTAGCTTTTCCAGGTTTACCTACTTAGTGCATGAGTCAGGATTTTGAAATTAGAATCATCTAATTGGCAAATCAGGGACAGGGTGGATTTCAGGCATGGCTGGCGCTGGGGACTCAAACAATGTTATCAAAACTCTGTTTTTCCACATTGACTCTGACACCTTCTTTAATTCCATTCCATTCTCTTTCTACTCTGAATGGGCTTTCTGTATATAGCCAGAAAGATGCCTGCTGATAGTTGCAAATTCACATAATCCAAGATTAACAATCCTAGCAGCAAGAGAATTGATTATTTCTGAGTTCTAAGAAAGAAACTCTGATTGTCCCCACTTGCATCTCACACTTACCCCTTTGGCCAATAACATTTGGCAGAGGGTGAGACACAATGAATTGACAGGACTAGGTCACATCTGAGTGAAGGTGGGATGTGCTTCACATCTTCACCTCAAGTAGGAGAGAGGTAGTTCCCTGAAGGAAAGGATGCAGAGCGTATGGGAAGGACAGAAGTTCACTATAGATACAAGAGACCTTTTGAAGGGAATCCATGAAACCATTTGGCAGAAAATAGAGGGTAAATGAGAGGGAATAATCAAAAGCCACCACCATATGGGGGCTCAGCAAATGAGAGAATGATGTGTTAGCAGAGACAGGGAAATGGGTTGGAGCAAAAGGGCTGGCTTTAGGGAAAGTGTCACGCGAGCACAGTGAGCTGGAGGTGGTTAGAGGAAGTGAGTAGTAAGCAGGCCAGGATTTGGTTCTGAAACTCAAGTGGGGGTTCAGGCGTGTAGGCAGACTTGAAAATTAAGGTTCAAAATTGATTTTCATCTCAATTTTGATACATATAGATTATCCTAATTCTGTCTGTACTATTATCATTAAGTTGAAAATTTAACTATTGGGCACTTAGAAAACACCGAAGACGCAATCCCAGTCTGCAGGCTGAGTAAAAGCCTCGGCAGCATTGGCGCCTCAGGGCGCTCACTAACGCCCTTTGGTTTCAGAGTTGCAGTAGCTCCGCGTTTCCGCCCTGTGAATCTGGGGAGGCTGTGACCGCTTTAGCAAATGGAATGCAGTACAAGTGATGCTAGTGGTTTCGAAGGGCGGGTCATAAGTGGCCAAAGAGCATGTTGAGAGGGAGGCAGGGCTTCAGGGATGGCTTGCTAAAGCAAATCAATGATGATGTCACCAAAATCCTGCATTTTTTTCCCCCTGTGTATGCATTTTGCCTTCTATGATGTAAGTTTCATTGATTTCATTCTGTCTTTCTTCTTGGTCAAAAAATAGCTGCCTGTCAATGCTTCAGCCTCCAGGCTATCCAGACGGAGACGGGGATCAGGACAGGAGGTACAGGTGCTAGGAGAAGCCCAGGAAAATCTCACCTGGAGCATACGGGGTTTAGGCCATTAGGTAATACAATCTAGGCTGATAATATTTTATTTCGTGTGCGTGTATTCTGCAGAAACAAAAGAGGAAGTGGGAGAAGAAATAGCACATCATATCCGGACACTGTAGAGATTACAAAATATAAAAATGGGAGTAGAAAACATACGATAATTATTTGGGAGCAGAATTTATTGGGACAGTAATATAATGTAATTCATTACCTGTCATGTAATTCAATAACAATTATGTATGTCATTAAGTAGGCGCTTAATTAATCTTGTGGAATGCACTATTTGATTAAAATAGTGAACAGTCTATACAAATATTCAACATTTATTGGGTGCTGACACTGTAACCAGCAGAGAAGGAGCTTGCTGACACCTGGCTGCAGAGAGAGGCAAAGGGTATTAACGCCAAGAGCCCATAATAAGATGAGGTATTCTGGAGCTGGAGTTAACCACAGGGCTCAGTGCTTTACCACCGCAGCCAGGAAGCACTCAGCAAATAGAACTAGATGGTTGGCTTGGAGCGGTGAACCAATCTAATAACTTCTAAATTTTGATTTCGCTTCATCTGTAGTATGGGAAAAATAATTAATACCTTACTCTTAGGATTATTATGAGGATTAAATGTCTGATACATAGAAATTGCTCAATAATTATTGTTACAATGATCTGTCTTGGCAGGGACATTGTTGTTGGAATTGTAATTGTTATCATTAAGTGTTGCATGTAGTACTAAAAGTAACTTGAACATCAAGGGTGACTTTACGGCACACAGGGGAAGTGGTCACGGTCAAGGTTTCACTATACCAGACTTCCAGGGGAGGGAAGGAGGCTTACTGAAAGTCCTAGGACTACATTCAAAGACAAATTTAGAAATTTCATTTCTTATTTTGGTGGATTTTTGTGTAAAGCCCAAACCTCTTCTTCCCGTCACTCAACATATCATTATCCACCCCACGGAGACCTGGTCTTTTGTTCACTGATGAACTCCAGTCCCTAAAATAGTGCTGGCACTTAATAAATGCTTAATAAATCACTGTTGAATGAGTGGATGAATGAAAGCGTGGATGGATGAATTAATTTAGCAGAAGAGCTTGGTTGCTTCTCTGAGCATCAGAAGTATGCTCATGTATCATGGTCACTTATGACTTAAAATAACAAGAAAGAATAGGGGTTGGCAGTTCCACTTCTTTGATTTGGCGGTGTGCTATAGTTTTTTAAAAATCTGTTTTGGCAGCTTCTATTATACAGTGTTTGAATGATAAATGAGTGCTTTCTTACAGAAAGGTAACACATGGCTCCTGTATTTTATGAAATAACAAACCCTTCATTTCATAGCCAGCTGCTTAGAATATGTTTCATAATTAGAGAAATAAAAATGAGCCTTTGCAAGGCTGTGCCAAAATGGAAAAATTTGGGGATGAATCCAGAACCAGCTAGTCTTAGGCAGTGCATTATTTGGGGACAAAACCCTACATACACAGGAGCCTGAGACGCAGAAAGAGAAAGGATGGCAGCTGCCTTCCCAGGGAGCTGCGCACAGAGAACTTCCCACTATGGTAGGTCTGGTTGTAGAGGCTGTTGCTGAGTAGGACATTCCAAGGCCATTAGAGAAGAAGAGTAGGGAATGGTTGGTTTGGATAGAGGTTTGGGGAACTTTCATTTTGGAATGACAATCAGTTTGGGAATTTGGAGAAGCTTCGAACTCTGGTTTGAGAGGGAGGTAATGACAAAGATAGGAATAGACTACGGAATTAAGAAACGGGAACTTATGGAGTGGGACTGGGGCAGAGATACCAGTGAAGGGGGAAGAGGGCAGCAAATGGCTTTAAGGAACAGTTGTTTGCATATTCTACATTAGTACAATGGTTTACAAGGTGGGGTTCATTGTGGGCCTTCATAAGGAACCCACAACTGATTTAAATGTGCTACGTATTAAGTGGTTAGAGGCATGTTACTTTCATTTTACACAGGGCTAAGAGGTGCTAACTAGTACCCTAATAAGGAAGCTAATGGTTGCTACACTTAGTTGTTTGTAAGCTAAAATGAGTGTAACCACCAGAGTTGACAAAGCACCTAATTCGAAGCCTGAAAAATCTGGCTGGTACTCTGCACTGCGCACATTGTGGAGCTCACACATCGTCCTGTCGTGAGGGCTGGAATCCTCACACTCCTCGGAAGGGGTACTTTGTTAATAGGCTATCATCACTGTTTTGATGAGTTGATCATGATTTCCAATTGCTACCATTCTGGCTACGTAATGACTGACTGTGGATTTAGCTTCATTATTTTAAATTTGCGGGTTGTTTGATTAGAACATGGCAAGTGGTGACACATATTTGAGGCAACGGTATTTTTGGCTTGTAACTTCCCCTGAAACTAGAGTTTGAGACATGAATAACCCACACTCTCTATTGCTAGAGGACATGTATACATAAAACCCACAGTAAGCTATAAGCTATAAGCTTATAAGCTTATAAGCTATAGTTAACTTTTATCACTCAATTCTTTCTCTAATGGAAATGAAACTCCGGTGGCACTTGGGTCATTTTTCTTGTTTAAATGTTCTATGGTCTAAA